TACCTTTAGACAGAGAGAGAAAGGGGAAGAAAACAAAAACAAAAAACAAAAAAGAGAAGAAGAAGAAAGAAAGACAACAAGACCACACAACCTGCAGCTTTTTGTAAGAAGAACACTGTTCCTTGTGGGAGAACCTCTAGGAGCTCCTGCAGAAGGACTCAGGAAGAAAAAAGCAACAAAACTGGTAGCAGAACATTAGAGAGCTTCTCAGAATTGAGCAGAAACTGTAGAGAAGCTGAAGGAGGCGTGAGTCTGGGTATCTGACTGTGTGAAAGAATGAGAAACTGACTGTTACTGATGTTTTAGTGGCCGATGGCCAGCATTAATGTTAGCATGTTATTAGCTATTAGCCACAGCTAGCAATTCAAGGCTAACGTCACAATAATGATCATAAACAACGTAAATAAATAAATAAATCAGAGAGAAGAGGGGCAGATAGGGGAAGGTATAGATACTTTAAAAAATCAGTATTGTATCCGGATAAAACGTTTTAATATCAATACTGTTAGTTCGATTCTTTAGCTGGAAGCCTGAGAACAAACTAGAGTATATTAAGAGTACAAATATGACTTTTACTGGTCACAAGCAGAGTAAAGCAACTGAGCTTTAACCCACAAAGTTCCCGGAGGATCTCAGTTAGCAAAGAGCCTCGATAGTTTTCCTCTGGGCCTCCAACAGGAGGACGAGTGCTATTGGCCAGTTAGCTCTGACAGGAACAGGCCAGGTCCTAATTCATGCAGGTTTAGGTGGAATGTGATAAGAAAGTGTGGATGTTGAGCTTAAAGACGAGTATCTACTGTAACAGAGAGAGGAGGATGAGGAGCCAGAGAGTTTAACCTAAAAGTAGAATTATAAAGGGAATAATATCAATCTAAAAAGAAATGACAATCAGTCATTTACATGGATTAAGTTGTAGCATGTTGTGCTAATGTGAGTAATTATAGCCCAATTCTAACACACAGATAACCGAAGGTTCTGCCTCCCGATCTGCTTTAAAAACTACAAGCTGTTTTGAATATGGAAAAATTGGAAAAATAAAACATTCTGACACATTTGAAGGCAGAGGTGTGGAAATATTCCCCCACGTCTGTCCACAGTTTAACGTCCCCTGATGCTAAACCGGTCATGCTAACACCACGCTAAGCTAGTTCCTGCATGCTGCATGATTAAGTTATAACATACTATGCTAAAGTAAGTAATTATAGCCCAGTTCTAACAATACTTTTGACAACCCCTAGTCCAGACTAAGAGGTTTATATCTGTGAGAAAGAGCCAGAACCAGAAGTAGAAGCAGTAAACCGGGGGGGGTTCACTCCGCGGTTTTTCTGCCTCCGTCACAGATCGGATGCTTAAAAAAAACGTCTCGTTCTAAAGCAGATGAGGAATTAGCGCTGAGCGTCTGCCTCCTGGCCTGGTTCTAGTTTCTGTGTTTGGAGAGGAAACGCTGGGCTCTTATCTGCCGCTCTCATCTCTCAGTCTGAGCGTGACGGCCCACTTTAGGCTCCCCTCTGCGCCCCAAAAGCAGAAGTACAGCCGGCTAAAAAGCCTTTAATGGAGGTTTAACCCTCAAAAACAAGTGGAGATCCAAGTCGGACATTTTGATTAGGTCACCAATAGGAAGATCCCAGGCCAGAAAATGGTAATTGCTTCATGGCAATATAGACATTGATTTAAAAATTGTGAAATGAATCTTGCAAACACTGAATTAAACTCTATCCATAATATTATGTTAAAATAGTGGATGTTAAATAGGTTTGTACAATAAGTCCAAACAAGTTTAACCCAAAAATATTTTTTTATATTTCTGACTATTATGAAGGGTTAGGGTTAGGGTTAGGGTCAGGGTTAGGGTCAGGGTTAGGTTTAGGGTCAGGGTTAGGGTTAGGTTTAGGGTCAGGGTTATAGTTAGGGTCAGGGTTAGGGTTAGGGTCAGGGTCAGGGATAGGGTCAGGGTTAGGATTAGGGTTAAAACATCGTTTACTTTCTGATTTCGTATAGACATTAAACTTTCGTTTCCACCTCAAAAAGCTGCTAGTCACATGACCAAATCAAAATGGCCGACTCGGATGTGGGCGGAGTCGGACATCCAACCTTGGCTTCCTACAGGCTCCTCCCACCCGTCTCAACCTCTGATCCCTCCATCTTTTCCCCTCCATGATGAATGTCGTTTCTTCTTCTTCTTCATTTTCCTCAGGGGTGATAAAGACCGAGGAGACTCACCTGGAAACTCACCTGGAGACTCACCTGGAGACTCACCTGGAGACTCACCTGGAGACTCACCTGGAGACTCACCTGG